TTATATATTGGCTGGAACTGCTACGTGAATGACAATATATTATTCTTAAATCCACTAAAGAATTATCAGATGATGAGATTAGCATTTAAGGGAAGCAAAAAAATTCTGATTATCTTACCGGTTTGAAGCATCTGATAATTCTTTAGTGGATTTAAGAATAATATATTGTCATTCACGTAGCAGTTCCAGCCAGAAGACAGATCATCACTAAGGATGCAGGTATATTTATTTATTTATTTATTTATTTATTTATTACAGACTAAAGTATAAATTTATCACATTCTAAAAATAATGGTAATAAATTGCATGAGGAATTAATCCTGCATGTGTGCCCGCAAAACTAACAGAATGATGTGTACATACCTTATTTACCCGAATATCAAACTAGGTTTTTGCAAAATATCTCTGTCAAAACATGCGGGGCCATATTATAATAGCAGATTAAGCCTAGTCAGTTAGGCTGTAAGTATTTACACTACCATTCCATATCCAGAAACTCATATTTTGTCAAAGCAATAATCTGTGAAGACTCTAAATATATTGTGTGCATCTGTAATATGTAAATCACAATTGTTTTATCAGCATCTATCACGAATTTGCCAGGCAATTCAGAATGATATCTTTGAATGGGCCGGTAAAGAGATAATCTCAAATGGTAAATGGCATTGTGTTACATTAAACGTAATGTCAAAACAAGTCCTGAGATTTTATTACACGATTCGGGTTCGACGAGGCCACTCTGAAACTTGGTTTGACGTCCGGCGAATGAGAATCTAGTTTTCGAGAGATGGAAATAAACATAATCACATTTACAGGACACATTCGACATTCAACCACAGAAAAGGATGATAAAAAATTATATTTTCTTGGAAAAAATGTCCCAATCTTGAAAACTCACTGCTGTCTCCGACATTACATGCTAAACAGAGGGACCAAGATTCGTAGATCACACAATCACACAAACAGTAAACTATTTTCAAGTTTATTCTCTCATTTGGTGTGAAAGAGCTGTTAAAGAAACAGAAGCCCACAACAGTGCAGGACAGATCTGGTGATGCAGAAGGAAATGTTCTTAGGTGGTGTCTGATAAAAGACCAAGAAAAACAAATTCATTGGGTAAAACTTACAAAGGTGTAAAAAGTGAAAACATGTTGCAGCATGGAAGAAGGTACAAAAAGAAAGGAACATAGATGTGTGAGAAGATGAGGGTAGTGACAAAACCAAGATTATGATGATTTTAAGGAACACGAAAATGATAGTTCATCAATAAGTCTTTTCATTCTAATCAACAATGCACTTTTTTAGTCAATAAGGCAATTTGCAATTTTATTTTATCTTAAATAGCAAGAATAAGCTGAACATTTAAAAAAAATTCTCAGGTCTCTTCAAAAATAGGGGGCCATCTTATATTCAGAGTTGACTTATATTTGGGTAAATACAGTAATTGTTTTTCCTTAAGAACTAAAACAAGTTTTCGTAGGCAACTTGTTGGGACACGCTTTATGAAAAACATAAGGAAAGTTATGTATTGGGCTTGAATAATGAATTAACAAAATTTTCCGTCATTTCAATCAGAGTTTTCATCATCTTTTTCTTACATTTATTTTGCAGTTTCATAAAATCTAAGCTCTTTGTATAGTCACTCGTTCAGCTAAAAGTTCTATAACAGACACAAATTTTATTTCTTCAAGTAATTTCCTTATTATCTACAGGTGGAACTAGTATTTTACTTCCTTGATCACACAAACTCAATTTGTCATATTCCTTTTTTGAGATTGAGTAAACATCTAGAAGGGATTTCTCCAAACAGAATTTGCTTATAAACAAGACTATGTAATCTTATAAAAATAGTTCAGATGGATAGATGCGATATTTATCAAAAATTATTTCCAAATCATTTTTAGTGTATCTTAAATTGGTTTGATTGTTACATCATATACACCAGTCCACGTAATAACTAAGTGGCACATGACCAAATACGGTATAATAATTTATTATTTTGTGCAATATAGATTTCATCCTATAGAAAAATTAATATTTCACTTTATTGTGATGGATTATCCGAGTTCAATAACAATCCATCATTAAAAAGATTTAATAAAAGATTATAATACAAAAGACGACAATGGAGGCCAACATTAGTTGTGTAATAAAAATGCAAATAACAATAGACTTACGGGAAGGAAGTATAATAATAAAACAACGGAGAATAGTGTTCATGTTAGTAGTACTTTTAGTGATGGAAACATGAAAATTTTCCTTGGATAACAAAAATAATTAAAGAATTCCAAGAAGACTGGATGTCAAACAGTATATGAAATGATATGCAAATAAATAGTTAACCAATCAGAAGGAATACTGACATTAGACAATGGGGGGGGGGGGGAGTGTGCAGAAAGACCAAGAAGAAACAAATATGTGATGCTACTGTACATAGAGGAAGACAATTGAAAGGCAGGGATTACATCTTGCCGGACAGAATGATGTGTGCTTTGGTAGAGGACATAATGATTTACATTGTGGTCAAGTAGAGAACAATATGTATTGCAGCAAAGTACAGAATGACCCAAACAGAATAGAATGGGATCAAGCGGCATATGATATGACAACACCGCTGGCAGGAGGTGAAACATCGACAAATGTCATTCAAAAAGGCAGAGGACTCGAAAAAGGAAGTGACAAACAGCTTAATATGCATTTTAACAAGTAGGAAGATTAAGTAATGTTATTAGATTTGTACGTTAAGATAGAGTTAAGAATAAAAAGGGAAAATAAGGCCATGTGTGAATATAATAATCAAAGAATGTCTGAGTTGTAAATATAGTGCACATGAGAGGAATTGATTGTTTTTTTGCCATTGATGTTATGTTTTGTGGAAGTAACAAGTACAGCGAGGATAGAGGTTGTAAGTCTTGGGAAGAAAATGGAATTATAATGTTTCTTCCCAGATGACAAATATGTTTTGATTTCTTAGCTTATTATTCCAGTGATTCATTTGTTCAAAAACAAGATTCCTGAATAATACTTTTGTTATTGCAATTCCATATGGGCAAGTCTGTTGACCCACGATAATAAATTTTTCTGTTGCTCACAACAATCCCCTTAGATAAATAATAATAAATGAGGCGAAACATTAGATGTTTTGTTGTGTAAATAAAACTTACTTCACAAATGACGGGAAGATCTCAGTAGTTGAAACACAGCACGAACTCAAGAAATCTATTTTTACTGATTTAAACATAATATATGTGTCAAATAACAAGACAAGCCACAATAACACACACTATGTGATTTGAAAAATTTTCCAAAAAATAATCACTCTTGATTTCTTAAACAAGACCTACACCACTTACATGTGACCATGTTTAGAGAATGGTCACACCATATGGTTACCCTACCTTTGCATGGACATGGAACTATTAGATAAAGTTCAGAGAAGGGTTACTAAAAACTGATACTAAGGCATATGATATGCAAGGCACAATTAATCACTTAATTTCCAATCATTATGAGACATGAGAATATACAGAGATCTCATACTACCATTCAAAACTACTACCGGACACTCAGGTTCACATTAATTTTCTCAAATGTGCCAGTATATTCACAATTCTCACCTGAGAGGACATGTGCTAAATTCTGAATCACGAGAGACCTACACAAAAATTTGCATAACTCTTTCATTTTACAGAGTAGACAACCGATATATAGCCCCAGAGGATATCATCATGGCTGCAAACACAGCCATTTTCAAGAGGAAACAGGAGGTCTAAGTAATTTAAGCATTTGGCCAACTGATATGCTTCTAGGCAAAGTATGTTTTATGTCACTAACATGGATTTCGTATTTGCCCTATAGTCCGGGTTTAGTGCCCTCTTATTTCCATCGCTTCAGGCAAATGAAAGATTCTATCCATGTTAGAAAATTGGAAAATGACGTCAGAGTGATCAATTAAGTGAAGGGATGGCTACCACAACAAAAGCTGGCAACGGCAAACCATGTTCACTCGTTTCACACAACCACAAGGCTACACAAGTTAATGGAGGTTATGATGGAAAATAAAGTAAGCAGAAAAACCATGGATTAACATTGTGCATACGTATCAAGAAGTATGAAATGTGGATTAAAAAAAAAAATTAAAAAGCAAGGCATATTTTCTGACAGACCTTCAAACCCAAACAAAATTCTCAATCAATAAAATTTGTTGTTGTTCATTTAATATCAAAGTAATTCCCACTCAGCTATCCACACACAAGGGAGCAGTTAATAGGAGCAGTTGAGTACACCTATTCTTGCAAATTCTTTCACTCTGTCAGCCCTTGGTGAAATCTAAGCGCATGGGCTGAAACTGAGTCAGACGTAGTGTCCCTGCCCTCCCCCCTCCAGAGCTCCTGCTCAACATGTGGCCAACCAGGTGCTCATGCTCTTTAAAGCAGAGTTCAAACAGGCTTATTTATATAATAAAGTCACTATATGTTCAAAAGAAACTTTGTGCAATCATCATCTCTCCAAAATGTCAATGTGTAAGCATCCTCTGCAGTTGTTCCACGCACCAATGACAAAAGATACTTGATATAATATTATTGCTCTTATCATCATTATCATTATTATTATTATTATTACCTTCCTGTAGCTGATAGTTGCCAAATAGAATAGAAGTTGATTAAGGGGAGCAGCACCCAAAAATTTAGCAGCTCTTTGTAGAGCTGTAAACTGGCCTAATATATCCAAAGATGCAGGTTCTACATTTTCTGCATCACCTAGCTGCCCAGCACATTCTACTTGTACATCATCTAAAAGAGCTGACATCATGGTTAAGGCCTGGGAAGCCAAGGCCACAGACAGAACTCCAAATCCCTGTTGCCTGCAAAACAAAAGATTTATCACTACTAATGGCAAATTTTCCTACATAAAAGTCAAATACCCTAGTTAGAAATTACTGCAATACAAGGTCAGGGTGAAAATTAGAGCAATGCAGGTAAAAATCCTGAAACGTTCTTTATTAAAAAATTGAGAATTCTTTGATCTCCCCCCATCGAGTTCCATCAACATTCAGAGACTAATTTTGTTCTTCTCAAAGCCTAAATCCTAAAAAATTGCAATATGAACAAATCATCAGCTGAGCATAAAGATTACTCACACTTTCATAAGGTTAATACGACTTGACCCTTCCCGAGCTTTGCTAGGGGACTTTCCCTTTTCCTCTTTGCTTTTATCAGGAACCAAGAAGCTCGATGCAGATAATTGAGTCTGAAGACCCATTATCAGAACCCATACTCCAATCAATAAATGATTCTGAAGAATCTAAAACAAACAAACAAAAAAAATCATTGAACAGGAACTTGACCTTATAACAAGTAATTTTAATTATCTTCTTTTCTTCAAAATTTGCACATTAATATTTGGTGGGTACGTGTGTAAAAGAGGATACGTTAAGTTTTCATCTGAAATGAGAATACCAGGACATTGCTACTACACTACTATCATTGTGTATAGGGGGATAAGTAACATTTCAATTTTACTATTAAAATTTAGTTGCAAAATTGAAAAGTCACTTATCTCCCTATACACAATGATAGTACCGTAGTAAAGCACTGCCCTGGCATACTCATTTTGAACAAAAACTTGACTTATTCCCTTTTACATGTGCACCTGCCATTTATGTTAGAAATGTCCTTTAAAATTTGGTATATTTTTTTTTTATTATGGACACTTCAAATAATCTCTTTTGAGTTTTCTCAAAACCTTAATAAATTTAATTTGTAAAACTATCTTTCTGGGTAGATAACAAGAGACTTAAACGATTTCACAGGCAAACCTACTTTGGAGTGGCTTTCTATATCAAAAACTGAGTTTGATTCCCGTGACTCATTTTTTCTTACTTCCCCCCCTCTAATAGAGCAAAATACACATTATTTACAAGTCTGATTTTTGTTAAAAATCTTTGAACTTTCAATAATTGTGAATTAAATTCTCTCAGGATTCTTTTGTTTAAGAGATGACTAAAGAACTAACAAGCGATATTTCAGTTCTATGAACACATTTCAAAACTTCATCCCATACAGCCAAAAATATTACCCAAGAGAAGAAATTGTGAGGCTTTTAAACTCTCATGCTGGAGCATTGCCATTATTGTATTCCTAATGGATATCTTGTGAAAGACACTTTAGCAAAAAGGCATGAGAAATTCAAATTTGCAATTTTCAATATTTGTGAAAATTACATATCTATCTTCAATATCGTACTTAGAGGACAACACAAACTTTTTTTTTAACTTTTGCAATTTTCAAAAATTTAAAGTTTTACGAAAATAAAACCTGAGCCTTTCTTTTAAGCATCATGTGCTCTGTCCAAAGAAAAAATTAATAAAAGAATTTGGAGAAAATTTGACGCTTTGATGTAAACGCTTCATGTGAAGCAAAATCAATATATTTGTTACCAATTTAGTTCCGAGTTTAGCCAAATCATTGGGGGAATAATACTTTTTAAGAAAATCATCCAAACACTTTAAGCTCTAGCATAACTCTAGCATAACTCACGGATGGATGGACAAACAGACATTTTGCTGTCAGTCAATTTTTTGGCAAGAGGATCTACAAACTGTGGACTTAAAGGTGCTATTTATTACATACAGGAACAAGATTTAATCACTTTCTTGTTATCATGGCCCCACAATTTGTGAAAAATTACTGGGTTTTGGCACAGCATTACAATACTTTTTCTGTACTCTGTAAGTAGCATGGGAGGGGTAAATTTAGATAAGACAAAATTCAATAAAATAAGAAAACTCCTTGCTTTTGAAATCTGTTAAAAAAAATTGTGCAAGAAAAAGACATCAACTGTTGATATCTTCAGTATTTTGTGTTAGAACTAGAACTTATGAACCACTCTCTTAATCTACATTATTTTTTATGTTTTTTCATCAATTTCTAAATGAAACTTACATGACCTCCCGCCCTTGTGGACGTTTTAATAACTCCGGATACTAGAGAGAAGATTTCTAATGCTTTCTCTACTACCATGATTGCATGGCTGTCTGAACTTCCTTCATCTTCTGTTCCTTTTGAAACATTGGTACCAACTGAAAATGAAAAATTCAAAGATCGTAGAATAAAATTATTTTAGAGAGAAAATATTAGTTGAACAGAGTAAACTATTTGCAGATAAATTACATTAATATAACAATATTTCTCACATTCCAATATTCTCTATATATCATTTTCAATTTACCTTCACCCAGGAACCCAAAAATGTGGATTTCTAATAAAACTATAAAAACTGAACTTCCAAAAATCTGATACATGCATGGTTAATAAATTAGACTCAAACAACAGTTTATATTCTTCAACAAGTTTAAAAAAGGTTTCATAAATGTTGAAATGTTTAGATTCACCACATAAAAGCTTATAACAGAAAGTATATGATATTTATGAGATGAACACACTACTCAATTAGGAAGAAGCTTTTAAAGAACATGCCAATAATACCTACCTGTGCCGGAAGTTCCAGTACATTTGGGAGAAATAACTGAAGAAATTCCTAGAAGACTACTAGCTGTTGCATTGGATACTGCACAATATAGACAGGACATAGTGAGTATGCAAAGTTTTTCCAATTTCTCTGGTGTCAAGGGCTCCAAGACTGGTAAGGAGAGAGCACTCCAACAAAGGCTAGTATCATTCACTAAGGCCTGCAAACTGCAAATCAACATTTTTGTGATGCAATAAAAGTCCAATACATGATTAATTATTACATTTTTCAATATTTCCACTGAACAATATCCTTGTCTTCTTGTTTCTTTAACTTTGAATATCCTTAACTCACCTGTGCCGAACAAGCATGGCTTCAGAATGTGATGAGGGTAGGCTGAATCCTTTCTTTGCAATTGCATCTTTATATTTGTGAATATACCGTGATAAATGAGGAAGATTCAAACACATGTCAATTAATATGTCACCAGCACCTAATGTCTGAAGACTTGCAACATTTTTCTGGATGAATTGAGTCTGAAATATTGAAAAGAAAAACAGACTATTAATAACCACAACAACAACAACAACAACAAACAAACAACCCCCCCACCCAGGAATGATTAGTATTACAGGAATGATTAGTATTAAACTTCACTATATTTAAAGAAAAATATTTTGAAAACCCCCCTCTGCCACATTGACCACCTACATCTACAACACCCACTTGATGAAACCCTCCTCTAATGACCAAATGAGCCTCTGTCAAATACATAGTGCAGAGAAAGTTATGCTAAAAAATTGATATCATCATTCAGACGGAAATGCACATTTTGGGGATCTGTGATACCAAAAAAGGGTGTTGTTTTTTCCTCCTCCCCCTCCTCCACTTCCAGAAACATACATAAATCCATCTGTGAATAACATTAGACATAAACAAGGATTCATCTCAAAATGGATATTCTCCAACAATAAGCAAATCACATCTTAAACCAAGTTGAAATCAATCTTTTAATTTACTTTATTTGAAACTTTTTCACACATTTTTAAAATACTTTTAAAACTGCAACAAAAAATTTCCTCCTTTAAATTCCATACCCAAAGGTAGGCTAAGTAGGAAAGAACATTTAACATTTCATACACGATTGATTTTCATTAAAATCTTTGAAATTTCGAATATTGCACGAGTTTCAACATATTTTTGACCCCTCCTACATCTTAATTAATAAACATACCTATTTTGTTCTTAATGCAATAGATTCTTCAATATTGGATTTGAAATGATGACATAGGTTTTCAAGTTTAGTTTTTGCACATTATTTCATTGTGACAATTTTTCTCAAAAACACCTCATAAAATTATCTCAAAAAGTGTCCAAATTTTACTTTTGATGTAGAGAAGAAAGCGCTAGATCACTTGATACCCGCTATTTTAATTAGAACTTCTGAATGGTAGCAAACAGAGAAGTTATTAATTCTAAGTACATTCTCAATAAAATTGAATTAGACTAAGGAAAAATTGTATGATTTTACATTTGATAAATCAGGCAGAATTGTCTGTTGACCTCGTGAATTTTCAATAAACAAATATTATTCCAAGAATGTAGCAACTAACAAATTACTTGAATAATCGACAAATCACAAAAATGAGAAATGATTGATCAATTGATTATTTAACTTCTAACTTATTGTAACCTCTTCCTTACCTTGATTTCCTGAGCTGGATCTGCATTTTGATTCAAATTATTACCATCAGGCTTTGTAGCAGTGTCACTACTAGTTTCATGAGCCAATGGGCGAGGTACCCCAAAGTCGTGGAGTGGAGTTGTCAATTGTTCCATAATAGAAGTTGATAGATCAGATCTTGTCCTCTTAGCTTCTTTGGTTGGTGCATCTCTTTCTCCTGAAGAAACAAGGTCGTCATTAACATGACTTTTCAGGCATAAATAAAAATGAAATTATTTGCACAAAACTTCACTATACTAAAGGAGATTCATAGCATTCAGTTCAAAGTTTGAACTTCAAACACTCCAAATGATTCTCTCATTATTATACTCATTCTTAGAAAGAACTGGAAAATAAATCACATAAAATTATATAAATTACCAGAATTAATGAATGTATACATTTAATCCTCCTGGCAACACCTTATACATAATATTATATGATGCTGATTGTGGGGATGTGGATTTATTGTAGGGATGCTGAACATAATACAGCAAAACCCTTAATCCATTAAACCATTTAATCTTTTCATGGGACCTTAGAGAAAATAGTGTAAATAGGGGAACTGATTTTTTATTCGAAACTGAGTACAGTGTGATGTTTCAGATACACACACTCAATAAGGATTATAATATACTTTGATGTTATTTTTGTGAAAAAGTGTTCTTTTCTCTTGAAAACTTCTTTGTGCATACTTCTGGGTATGTGACTCTTCAGGTGATTCGTGCTGTAGCATCCAGCATGTTTGCCATTCAGTTGACATTCCACTTACCCTGACACCTACGGTCCATCCCCTTGATGTCCTGATAGAACCTTAATCCTATTTTCCGGAAAATAGCCCACATGCGAGTGAAGGAAGTGAACCTTCAAACTCATGTGGAAAACTAGTATTTGAAAAGCCTTTAACATGTGTTGCATGACACATCTGTAGTTAGGATCCTTTGCATTACCAAGGAACTAGTCAACTAAGAATTTCAGGCTTTCCTCTCTTCCTCATCCATGGTCTGAGCAAAATGAGGATCTGAGAAAAGTTTTCTGATATCTGGCCCTACAATGATTCCGTCTCTTATCATAGTGTCAATTAAACCAGGAAACTTGGAGCATAAGTACTTGAAACATTCACCTTCTTGATTGTGACAACGAATTGCTTTATCAGCCCCTCTTTATGGGTAGAGGAGGTAGCAGGATTTTCTCAGAAGGAACCAAACTTTTCCTCATTACACTTTTTTCACCTGGCAACAAAGCTTCATGATGATCAGAGATATTGTTCCAGTGGGAATTTCAGTCACCCCCAAAGCATAAAAATCAAGGAAAATTTGTGTACTCTGATGAGTGATGAGTTTCAAGTCTCCACAAATCAACCCCTAATGCTCATTATAACAAATTCTCTTGAGAACTAATATGAAATTGACATATGTTTCCTTTCAATGTACCGAATGGCCAACTGGAACTCAATCATAAGTATTGCCGTAGTGTAACAAAACAACTTTAAAATTTCGTGCCGGAGAGTCTATGAACGCTAATGATTCCGGCCATTGTACACCAACTTGACCTATCAGTCCACAAATGAACAATAAACAAGATTCTCATGCTGTGAAAAGTAAGGGTTAAAAACTGCTTTGCAATGTCAAGACCATGAAAAAGTGTCTGGTTGTAAAAATTTTTAGTTTTAAGTCAGGAGACATGTAAATTAGCAGCATTTTTCGGAATTCCACGATCTTTCACAAAGTTATTTAACTCCTGTTGAGAAAAGAGCTGAGGTTTGTTCTCTGAACTGTCTGGTTCAAACTTACTTTTCATCACACAAGCTTTCATAATTTCTCTATCTGTTTCCCATTCAGTACGGTCCAAGTTACGAGGAACCTGAGGAACTGCCAATCTGGATCGTGTGGTACCAGATGAAGAGCAGATTTAAGAATAGGATACTTCATCAACTTATGATTTTTGGAAATACAACCTTTAACATCATAAGTCAAAAGTAACAGTCATCCCCACGGGTTGTTTGCACCCTACTATGGGAGACTATTATTAGAGCATAAGTGTTTAGAATATTAGAAATCATTTAAGGAAAAACTATTGGTTACAAATGTAAATAGTTGCATACACTACAAAACAGAAATTATGTTTTATAGATTTGAAAAAAATATGTGCATGATGGAGAAGAACGGACTTTATTTTAATTTTCAGTATATATAGGGCCGAATTCATAGTCATGTCTTATTCTGTATGTTCCCTTAAGTGGACGAAGCATATTCATAAACAGCCCTTGAGTAAAGTCTTAAGAGAGCACTCACTCCTATAAGCGAAGTAGCCTGCTCCCAAGTGTCCCTTACGGCTCCCTCGCATCGACAGTCGTAACCAGTTTAGGTTATACTTTTACGCGGCGTTCACCGACTATTGAATTCTTTTTGCTGGTGTTTGTATAGTGTAGGCAGTTAAAATATATCATTTGTGAAATGTGTTATGGAAAATGATTTCAAGGATTATTTTGAGTTTTATACTCAACACATCCTGCAAAATTCCAAGAGATATATTCGAGATATGAGAAACTCATTGGAAATGTAGAATTATTAACAATTCCGAAAGCAGTTTCGTTTCAATAAAACTACTGTAATGGACACATTTGTGCTGATGATCGATAAAGTCCCAATGACTAAAAGAGGATTGCCAATTTCCTCTTATTAAAATTCTCGTTGCATTAAGATGTTATGCAACTTCATCCTTTCAGAAATGTTTCCAAAATTTTTAACTTTTATTCACATCTGATTTATAAGACCTATTATAAGTAATTATGAATTTGCAATATGAATAACAAGTGAAGAAATTTAAATTGAAAATAGAATTTATGTTAATACTGTATGAGGTTGTCATTTTCAATTACATGAAATGTTAATAATCCATTACCAATATTGGCAGACTTATGTTCATACCATGTTACCATACCACCACTTTTATGTTCATTAGTTATATTAGAGCATATGTTAATATTGAGGAATCCAATAATGCACATAAGTAATGTGTAGAAAATGCACAAGACATTGCAGAGATTCATTAAACTTTTGATACGAGGTTCATGGATTATATTTTTTACCAAACATTTCTTATTAATAGGGATTTGTAATAAGTGCATTTTTAAAATATTAGCGTGATACCGGTGTCAAATAGTCATTGAAATTATATGGTAATCGTAGATTATATTGTTACATTTCTACTTGTTATTAGTGATTGGTAGTAATTACCAATACCAACATCAAAACATCTCATTTTGTCTGTATGAGGACACATTAGAAGCAGTAGAATTATTTTGTCGTGCGCGTGACTTCAACTCTATGTTGGAGAGAGTGGCCCTTGTTAAATTGGACGCTCTTTGTACAAGATGAAGTGCGTGTGTAAACTCGATTACCAAGAACTTCCAAACAGCTGCCACCAATGCCATGTTGCCACATTTACCTTCCGCTTAAGGGAACACTCATTCTGCGGTCGTAGGGAACGTCTATGAAATACGAGCGCCTATAAGTGAAAACTTATTTTGAGAAAGCACTTATCACTTAAGGGTTCGCTTATCCTATAAGTGACGACTATGAATTCGGCCCATAGATTAGCAAAAATTATCAATTCAAATTTTTGGTTGTAGACCTGTATTATCAATAACAAAGGATATCAATCATTCAACACCATGACAGTATTTTGTATTCAATCCCTCCCAACACACACAGTCAGCTTTCCGTTAAGGTTCTTTGAGACAAATTACAGATGCAGATTATTTATGTTGTAAATATTACTTGTTAGATAAACTAAGCAAAGAACGAACATTACCTGAAGTACTCGTTTTGATGTGAGCTGGTAGCTTTGCATTTTTCATCACAGCTGTGAGAGCAAGTTGATCAGTCTTCTGTAGCATGCCTTCAGCATTGCACAACGCTCTGATGGGAAGAAGAAGCTGCTTTGCAGAGAGTGTAGTTGCGACAACTTCACCACCACTTTGGGCTTGCAATCGTGACAGGAGGTATTGCAAAAGAATGCGGCAAGCTTGACAGACAACGCTGATTTGGCTTTTGCACACTAAAAAAAAAGGTTAAAATTATTATCATTAATCCAATTAAAAAACTTAAATAGATGGCACAAATGGTCCTGTACTTGATCTTATTGTAGTATAAATAAGTAGAAAGTGCTGCACTGTTTGAGAGAATTTACTGCAGTTTTTGAATAATTAACTTCTACAGAAACATCTTACACAAAAAGGAAGCAAGGAACTAGAAAGACCTATGTTTCATAGAAGATTATAAAATTTTAATTTGTGTTTAGCAGTAATTTTCATGAAACCTGAATTCTGCTCAACTCAGCACAATACAAAACTGGGAGGTGAGAAACATAACAACACATGATGAAACATTTTACATCCATAAGCTGACAGAGTAAAGGAGACAATACCTGATACTGAGGGCAACAGAATCAGAGAGACAAAACATGACATGTTTACAAATTTTTACACATATATAAACAATTAAACCAACTTTTCTTGTTCATTTAACATTTTTTTATAATGTACAAAATCATCTGTTTGCTTATGAATTGATGGTATACGATTCTCTGATGAATTCCACATTGTGGCATAAATTAAAGGCTGTTTCAGTTGCTTAAAAATATCTTACTGGCCAGGAATTTGCAACACAATAATATGGAGCCAAATTCAGTGGATTTCTTTCTTATAAATTTGACAAGCCACACTCACCACGAAAGGTGAAATCAACCAATTACAACTTCTCAGAAACATTCATAGTTTGTCTATTTTAAAATAATGTATTCTATGAGTACCATGTCTATGGTCATACATAGTATTAAGAGGTGGTTCTATTACGCCATGGAAGAAAATATGAGCTAGAGTTGCAAGGCAGATAATGAAAGCAATGTTGGGCATTATCAGATACCACACCACATAGCTTTACAATTAAGAGCAAAAAGCGTTATAAGTTGAAAATGCATGTATCCAAATAAAGGACAATGGGACAAGAGCACAAATATTGCATTTTACAACTCTAACCTGCAAATGAATCAGAAATAAATAAGGGCCAATTATACAATCTACAATCAGTGTATGAAACAAAAGCAAAGAGTTTAAAAAATTATTAAATAGGCACTTCATAAATTTTGTTTCAATGATTTCATACAATTTAATTCATTGAGACATCACACTGCAACAGCATACTTCAATTTTTCCAAAGTGGCCATGAAAATAGGTCGTTGTTACACCTCTTGCCTTACAAAATGAATCTGTTTCATTAATTCGCAAACATCATTCTCAACGGCACTCGTGGCCTCAGAAACATGCTTACCACTGTAAAAAAAACATTTTATAAGGCAGATGTAAAAATGGCCTAATGTCATCCGCCACTATAGAAAAATTGAAGTATAGTTGAAATTGCACTTTAAACCAAAATGTATATTCAGAATAATTAATACTGGAGATAATTTTAACCTATAATTTGGTAACTAGAAAACTTTCAAAGCTGTACCCGATTTCTCTTTTGTAAATATTTTTTATTACCTAAATGCAAATATTGTCATACTAATTTCAGCCAAAAACACTTGTTACTACCTGAAATAGTGATTTAACGTAATATATATATATTTAAGTCAAGACACATTTATTTAATGATTATTTTTTTATCTTTTTAATGTCAAAAACAGTTAAGAACAGTATGACATACTATGGGGAGAGGAGATCCAGAAACTGCGCACAGATTACACTTATCCCCGTAGTACATCACACATATTTGCAAGTGTTTTTAACATTAAATAAATAAAGCTACAATCAAGTTCAACTTAAAAAGAAATTGCTAAGGCAATAAAAAAATACATCTTGTCTAACAAGAAAAGACATAGCCACGATGGAATCTAGAATAAAGGGCAATAGTTTAGAACGAATTAGGAACAAAAGAGATCAGAAATATCTAAATAATGTAACAAACTAAAATTTTGCATTCAAAGAACACTGACATTGCACATATGATTTCAACAGTCAAAATCACATTGCAATCAACCCTTCACAGAGAGCAGATTTCCTTTGCAAGCTTATTTAGAACGAGTTGGTGGAAGAATCTGAGAACTCACAGGAAGAGACACTGGAACTGATGTAATCAGCTGCAAGAGCAGCAAAAGCTGTGTAGAAAATCTCGTACTCATCTTCATGATTAAGGAGATCAGCTTCACTAAAAGTGAAAAACGGATACAATTTATTAACACTCTACATATCCTCTTAACATTCCACCAATTTCTCATGAAAATGACAATTGCACAAGTACACGTAACGCTTTGGAGTGTTGCCGCTAAACGACAGTCCATTTCTCAAGGAAATATCTTCGATCGCTTACCTCCGGTTAATAGCTTTGACGAGTTCTAACACGTCATTTTTATTGAAGGACCCATACGAGGCTGCTAATATTGGTTTTACAATTGAAGCCCATTCTACACCACCGCTATTAGCAGCCATTTTCAGAACAATCGATTCTTTCCGTAATGTACCCACCCCACAAGAGTGAGGACTGAGGAGATGACAACGAACCAACGTACGCAGGTCTACCAACTCCAGTATGAAAACAGCTGTTTTCTTAGTTAATCCTTGAAATCGTTTAAAAGTTCTTTCTCGTTTTTTTCTCCCACAAATTACGCAACGCTAAAAAGAGGTTGAGAGTAAGACTAAATAGAATTTCTTTCCTTCTTTTTATTTTAGTGTACTTACACTGACACATAAAATTAATATGTATTGTATTATAATATTTTCATTACAAATTACATTTCAAATTTCCGAATTTTATTTAGTTTGAAATTTGTATCTATACGTTTAAAACGTGTAGCTACATTTGTATAATATATTTACGTTACTTAATGACATATTGTCAAATTACATTAAACAATTAAAATCGGTACGCAATTTTAAATTTAAAAAAACATTTTCTGCTGCTCAAAGTTACAAAAACCGTTGTTAGTTGTTTTATTTTTGTTTTGTCTTTAGGTACAAAAAGATCTGGTGATGAGAAGAAGATGGGTTGAAGCCTGTGAAAGAGATATCACAAGCGGTTTATTTAGAAAAGAGTCCGGTCAAAGATACATTTCCTGCAAACTCTTACACATGCAAAATTCATTAGCTTGTGTGTAACCGTTCCAGAGTAATAATAATTTAAAAATTAAAATCCGTCTACATTTTACACTCTTTTCAAAACCGAAAAATTGCAATAAAATTAGTTCTACAACAGAGGGAGTGATCGAACTTAAGTTATTTGGATAATATCTACGAAAGTTAGGTTTATCACAGGTATAAGAACAGAAAGAAATAATACGTATATTAGGGGTGTCCTTAAGCGTTTGACCGAAACTTTCCTTGAACGCACAAATACAATAATAGATGCTTCCACACCCTCCCCCGCGGCCCCAGGTGCTGCTAGCTCCCCCACAAGCTTCATACGAATACTTCAATGCATCATACTACATTAAAGAACATCCGTTTCCGAGCCTGTACCTGACGACGACCCGCCTAGTGGGTGGATGCATATGCAGCCGCACATATAGAATCAGCGAGAACAAGCACGAATGTGCCCCGCAGAACCCCCTTGCCTTGCCCTGCCCGGGGAGTCAATTGTGTAATTTTAGAAATAACAAATGCATAGAGCAAAACGTCGTTTCTGTCATCTATTACAACACTAACCCTACGGAAAGTTTAAAGAAAAAAAATGTGGAGTCGTTTTTTTTGAGAAATTCTTGTGTTTTGATATTTTTTAATACTGCGCGAAAAATACTAAATTTAAAAAAATATATGACCTTAATGAAAGAACTAATTATGGGGAACCAATTTCATTTAAAGAAAAAATCTCTTTCTTCAATTTTGTGGTTGTACGAAGAAGCCGAAAGTTTTCAATTTTTTACAATTTTCGAAAATTCGGAGTTAACATGAAAATCGGATATCTGCCACCTTTATAAGTGTATTTTACTGTATTCTTCCAAGGGAATTAAAGAAAAAATTTGGAGCAATTTTTAAGAAAATTTTGAGAATGCCCCAGGGACTGCATAAAAAGTACCCTCAAAAATTAACGAATGTTACTCAAACTTGCAGAGCCATATCGATCGGGGAGTAGTCAGTTTGGAAACAGCCCTACTCAGAGTTTATGACGCTAGTGTCGTTCACAGACAACAGACGGACGGATGTTAAAAAAAACCTTTTTTGGTATCAAGGATTTACTAGTCGTGAAATCCGATTACATAAGAGAGAGAGTATAGAGGGAGTAATTCACTACATATTGGAACAAGATTTAACCACTCTTTGTGTATCAGGGACCCACAATACGACTTTTTCTGTTCGTTGTTTTTTGCCGCAGCATTACATAACTTCCTCTATACTACGTAAATTACTTCGAATACTCGTACGTATACGAGAAAGTAATTAATGATGGTACAGACTCTCTCATTCTAGTTAGTTTTCTAATTTCTTTGGTCTGGGCTAGCTTTTCGGTCTTTCCCCCATCCTTTTGTCAGATGCCATCTACCGCCGCACAGGGCATATTTATTTTGAAAATTTCCAATTTTTTGGTTTCCTGGTGATAGAACTGCAATATTACTTTAAGAATATTACAGAAAAGTAACCCCCGTCCATTTTTGTTGGAAAGTTTGAAGCCATTTTTAAAAAAATGACGTTTAAGCGTTACTGTAAATGCGTTTGACGCTCTTTTTCACAAAACATTTTTGAGTTTTCAAAAAACTTCATTGGAAGTCCTTTAAAGCACTTCTGATCACAAATGCAATAGTGAATACAAATTGTTGGAAATGTACATATTAACTGCAAGATATATATATATATATATATATATATATATATATATATATAGAGAGAGAGAGAGAGAGAGAGAGAGAGAGAGAGAGAGAGAGACGGACGGATTGACGTTTTGAAAAACAGTCACATTTTTGATATCAGGGTGGTACCAATTGGGTGCTATCATTTGGTATCAAAAATAACCAAAACGTGTATTTTTCTGTTGAAATCTCGAAATCGATTTTCCGCAGCATTCCATAATTTTCTCTATATTACACATATTACACCATATATACGTAGGTATACGAGAAAGTATGGGCCCATTCACAATGCAAACATTAACATAAGCATGGCGTTAACATAAAAGTTAGGACTACTAACATAAACGGACTATGCTTGCAAGCTTCAAGCTTCTGTGCTTATGCTTGCGTTAGACATAAGAAATGAGCCAATCACAGAACGGTAATTCAAAATCGAGATTCGAAATTGGAGCGAAGTCGATAGAAGAACTAACGCCATACGGGCCATGGATACGGTGGATATATTGAAATCAAGTCTCACATCGAACCAATAGTAAACCAGAATATCTCACAGCCGATAGAAACTTATTTTGCTTACGATATGTTAGACATTGTGAATACTTCAGTCTATCACTTAAGTAAATGTTTATGCCTATGAGCTATGTTTATGTTTACGTTTACATTGTTGTTACGATGTCGCACCGGCCGGACTTTACAATAAAGCCATACTTCTTCCCTCTCCTCACCAACCCAACGATCAATTCCACCAACCCAGATAGCATCCCCACGGAGTACAGGCATGAACCCATTCTGATCTCCACTTCACGAGCCTCTATCCTTCCGCCACTACCTGCCCGGCACCCCCTCCCGCCACCATTCTGCCCACGCATGTCTTTCCCTCCAGAATTTTTTTGTTATTTAAGTTCGCATCAACTACTAGGTCATTAGCGACCACTATTGCTTGTAACGGTATGGTAACTGTGGGGATGACACGATATGATGATGATGGGGGCGAAAGGACGAACACAATACAACCATGCCCGAGGCGGTGCTCGAACCCGCGATCCTTCGGTCCGAGATCGCTATCACACCCACACAAAAAACACAAGCCCCATCCCGCGCCCACCCCATTGGAAGCATAACGCTCGTGGTGCAAGGGTTAATATACAAAACCAAAAGACCGCTGAGAAAAGCCGCCGAGCTCCCCCCGTCCTGGGTAGTGGTACCTTGCACCAAATCATGTAGTGATCGGTACCCCTGCAGCCATTATTGGCGGCAACCCGCAAAGCGCTCCTGCCGAGTGGATTGCAGTGTCCGCTCATAGGCAGAAGCCAAACACTGCACATATCGCACGGGTCAGTGGCCCGCCAGACCAGCCAGAGGGACGAAGATATGGGGCCAGCCCCCCGCCGGCGAGGGGGTGCGTAGCGGGAGTACTCGAGGCCGTGACGGGTCGCAAGAGGGGCGGCGGAGCGGCGGGGCGCGGGGGGGTTTGGGAAAAACCGGGGCCGGGGGGGCCGAGCCCCTTAAGGCCGGCGAGGCAGTGTCTGTTACTGCCGACCGCATGCGAAATCCAAGCGTTGACCCCCCCCGTCTGTGACCCCTCGCCCCCTACGAACGCGGAAACATGTTCAGGCACCGGTGCATCACCAGCATTGGCAGCAGCGGTCACGGAGCTGACTCAGCTCCTAAACCAGCTGCAGAGAGGGTCGCTGGTTTCGGCGATACATACGTACGAAAAGTGCGTTGGGGAGCCGTAGCAGGTCCTCCTTATCGATGTTCTTAAGGATCACGCCCCCCTTCACGCTGGAGGAGCCAAGATCTATATCACAGTATGAAATCATACAAGCGGCATATGGCGAAATATGCGTTCCCTCGCCGAGATGGTCGATGCCTGACGCAAAGCCCCCAGGGAGGAGGTCTCGGCATTGTTCGCCTATTTACATGGCAACGCTCCGAAAGGGTGTTCCGGGTTTATGAGGACGGTCCTCATCCACAAGAACCATGAAAGCGGGGACCTTAACCAATGGTGTCTTACACATCACAAGTTGTCCACTGCTCAACAAGTTTCTCTTGGACCTCATCTCAGACGAACGTAGTTTCATTCACTATTATACGCTTGAGTCATATCTTTGTCCACATCATCTTATTATTTTAATCTGCAACATTTCTCAAACATTGCTGCACCTCACCCTCTTTCAGTGTTTTGAACGTGACACAATTATTTCTGTCTGCAGTTCTTTTTACTTTCTCGTTTCTGCTTACGCATCATAGACAAGGTACTGTAATGCTGCGGGAAAGAACGTCTAATTTTCGACAGAAAAACTCTTAATACCGAATACTGGTGTCGAAAAAGTTAATAAATCTTGGTTCTAAACATAGGAAATTCCTTCTTCTAACACGTTTAGTAGGCAGAATCCATGTTTTATATGTTCTTAATACCGAAAAATCGTTCGTCAGTCTGTGAACAATCCTAGCTGCTAAACCGGATTTTTACCAAAATTAATGTTCTCCATTCAATCTGGCTGATGTCACGGTCTCTTGAATTTGAAATTTATATTTTAATTTTGGGATTTCGTTACATGAAGCCTCAACATTTTGAAAATATTACAAAAATGACTTCACATTTTTAATTGTATTTTCTCCTCAAAGAGCGTAAAGTACGCTTAAGAGGACTGTGCAGTTCTCATTTTCATCGAAATTCCTGAATGTTCGAAAACTACAAAATTTTGAATTTTTTGACTCTTCCTATAACTACAATAATAAAGATAGATATTTTTCTTAAAGAAATATGTTTATCAAAATTAGCTCTTTGGCTCACCTGAACCCATGTTGTCGTTTTGTCGTTTCCAAACAGCAGGACAGAAACGGGTCAACTTGCATTTCATGTTTTCTGTTACAAAATTTTACATGTTCAATTCCATTTCATTCAATTTATTACATGGAATCGCAATATTACTATAATACTTAATAATTTAACCCTCCGCTCTCTTCTTTCATTTTTTAAAATGTTAATTCTGTTTATAAAATTATGTATTATTTAACCATTTAATATTAATAATCTATTAATTCTAATGTTTTTTGTTTTAACTAAGGTTTTAATTTGTTTATATTTCTTGTAACAGAAAACTGACTGTGTTTGAAACTGCTACACTTACTCTTATGTTTCAAATACAATTGAAAATAATATCATTTCAAGTGTAGTTCTTTAATCAAACCTAATGGTTTGAAAAAACATAATATTTAACATATATATTTTATTTATATAATTTTGCCATACCATTCTTAAGTATTCAGAATATTCATTAATTTCATTCAATATTCATTAAATATGACTGTAACAGACAAAGTGGCATTGTCGGACGTAAAATCTGTGGTTTTGTGCTAGGAAAGAATGACATTTTGAGTTTCTTTTCAAAAACCAAATAATTACGAACAATGAATTAGTAATATAAATTATTATAACAAATTTGTTCAAAATCATGTTAATGCATTGCAATTTGAGCTAAGTTTCCATACGCTCGTTTTCCGATAAACATCTTATTTGTGATATTATTTGTTGTTATACAACTGTACTCCCAGATATGAGGTAACTGTTACGTATTTTATTAAGAAATATAGCAATTATTTTTTAAACACAGGAAAACTGCTGTAGAAGGCGGTTGTTTTAATTTGTATCCTGTTAGAACATAAAATTGTAATGTAAATAAAATGTAAGCAACTTTTAACACTAATTAGCACATGATCAATTTAATTCAGTAATAATATCTAATAATATCGATCAGATCTTCAAGAATAATATATTCCCAGATATAATTATAAACTCTCAGAACAAAGTTAAGATGGATACCGCGTTTTGATATGCCCATGTATCTTCCACCGAACATCTCCTTTGAATGTTTTTTATTGTCCTAGAACTTTATTAGCAGATATTAGCAGCTAATTATTATGCATATTATTAAAGAACATTATACTTGATATTTTACAATATGAAAGACGGTGAGTACGTAAAAGTACGCTTACAAACAGACTCCGAAATCACACCTCAGAGAAGTACATTTTACGTTCCTTTGAAACGATGTCAAAACGCATTTAGTAAACTTACGTTTTCGAAATTAAAGGCATTCAGTGCAGAATGTTGTCCTCTTTTAAGTGGTGTATGATACAAATAGGTATGTATAAATTAATGTTTTGGACTTTTCGCCAGCTTTTCGAGCTTTTTCCCTAATATGTGACGGTCCATTTTTCGGCGCACTCTCTGTATTTTTGAAAAAAAAGATCGAATTGGAAATTCTAATTTCGTCCGCATCGTTTGACGCCTAAGTTCGCAAAATGGCAACACAATGGTTTTAAAATTATTTGAATTAATTTCATTGCTGTCGGTCGTGATGATTGTATGATGCAGATAATATTCTTATGAAAGGAAATAGATTGAAGGAAGGTAATAAATGTAATAGAACTAATAAACACTTCTTTACTTTAAGAAGCGTTTTGATCGCTGATATTCAGAAATTGTTTGCTCACTTTAATGTAATCAAAGGAGGATTGTGTGAAATTATTCTTACTTTTCTGTTTTATGTGCTGCAAATAATGTAACAGTGAAATTTATTCACGTTTGTTTCAGTTATAAAAGTAAGAGACTACTAATCCTGACAATCGAAATAAATCAGAGTCCCTTCGTTTGAATTTGTTGAAATAGATTTTTCCAAGTTATAACTGAGGTGTTAGAAATTGCAATATTTCAATAGGTAACTAACAGTTACTGAGAGTGCGAGAAAGTATGTGCGGTTGTAGAGCCTATTTATTTTGTAAAATCATTCTTTTGTTTATGGGTTTGTTCGTTTTGTTTCTTGGGTTAGTTGAGTATGGGTCCTCAACAATTCAAGGTTCAGTTTTGTTTGAAAATGGTTGTTAACTTCGTCATGAATATATCCATTTTCGTTCAACTTCTTACCTTCTGTGACTGTATTCTTACGTGTTCGCGCTCCTCCCTCTGCACTTCTTTCTTCTCCAAAATTGTCATTTTACTTTCCTCCGGCTCATTTTCATCATGTCAGAATAGATCATGCTTTTTAATTTCCTTTTTTATCTCTTTTATTTCCTTGAGAATGGTATGCGATTTCAAATGGTTCTCCCTGAGGCATTTCAATTATACTAATACTTTTGAACTAATGTAATGACCATCTGCCAGAACACTGTTGTCAACCACCATAGTTTGGAGTGAACGCAACTCATAGTTTACTTTAGAGTCGCTAAGAAGATATCGATAATTTTATTTCGCTGTTCTTTCTCATTGATATTTGTCACTGATTTCGTACCATTATTTAGCACGGCCAAATTTAACCTGTCCTATTCAACATACTTCTCCAAGTCACTAGTTCCGGCAGAAATCATTCGAAACACAAAATTCTTATTTATGAAACCTGAGCCAGTCCCTCACCACCATTAGCTTACGTTGAAGTGCACAATGACACGTGGGCTTAATCATTCTACCGAAGCCCGTTGGTGTAAGAATATCGTCAACCAAAATTATTTTCAAGAAAACTGAAAGAAAAAAAAAACTTACGTACAATGTGCTTGATGACATGCTATGTTACGCGTTTTAGACACGTGGCGCTGCGCGGGGCAGCGTGAGAGTAACGGCCGAAGGATCGGCGGCGGGCGGCGATTTCCGCGTTCAGACAGTAAGTTCATGAAAGGCCTGTGCACTAATTGTCGTAAAACACTGCTTACGAAGCTTCATAAAATCTACATTTATGCGTGTTGAATGGTTCTGGAGAAGCTGGTAGAAGTTCATGTCA